TTTTAGTTTCTGAAAACTAATGCAAATGGCTAATCGCTTGGTGGTAAACAGAAAAGCTTCCAGTTTAAACCAACTCAGAGGCACCAGTAAGAAAGGTTTGGAGAACTACTGAAACCGGCCACTGAAAACTGCAAAGGATTCTATCTTGGTGGACATGAGGTTATGAATCCAAATCTACTCAATAGTGAATAGCTCTGCGTGCACGTATGTGTGTGTTGGTGGTAGTGATGGTGGAGTGGGAGGAGGTTAGTACTCTAGGATGTGCTGAGAAAGCAATGCAGATTATAGGAACTCTTTTGCCTTTTGAAAGAAAATTGTAGGCAGTAGGTTAGAATAGGGTGAAAGCACAGAACCCAAACACAGAGAAGACAATATAACTCCACACAGAGTTTCTGTTCACTAACTGGCCATGTGGTATCACCGTCTTTTTCAATGATGTCATTGTCAAAATGCACATGGAATGACTTCTTCTTTCATACTTTGATCTTAGGCTCAAATAATACCATAAACTTTAAAACACTGTGAATAATAAAGTAGCAAATAAATATTTTGTACCAGAAGTCTGAGACCTCTTTCCCATTTCATCATAAATTTCTTAGGCGCACCTCTTCATTGGTTTAGTTCACTGCCAAATTTCTTTATCTCTCAACTCAAAACACTGGGAAAATTGGCTCACTCCTCAAATCATCCTGATTATTATCTCAGCGTTCCTTACTGTTCCAAACATGTGCCTGCAAATTTTCAATTGCACTCATTCACTCACAGCTGTTGGGCCGGTTCCAACATCTAGGACTCTCCCGTGGAATTCCAAGACTGTAAATTCCAAGGGGAGGAGACTTCTCATCTTTCTTCATAAAATCACTGATAGATGCGAACTGCTGGAGACCCATTAACCTTTGGGTTAGTGGTACCACTCATTACAGATGCTCCACCAGAGCTCCCGCCTTTTCAACATTTTCTTTAGCCTCTCTTAAATCCATATGTTGCTGTTAGGCGTCGTTGAGTCGAGTATGACTCATTGCAAACCCACAAACACAATATCTGAACCTTGTTCTGTCCTGTGCCATCCTCACCCTTCCTGACACACAAGAGCCCATTACAGCAGTCACAGTGCCAGCCAACTTGGTCGAGGGTCTCCCGCTCCTCTGTCCTTCCCACCATCATGTCTCTCTCCAAGGACTAACCCCTCCTAGGAATAAGCCTAAGCTATGTGAGGTGAAGCCTCATCTTTGTTGCCTCCAAAGAGCCCTCCAGCTGCACACCTGTCTCTAACACATATCCATTTGTTCTCCTGCCATCCATGGGATGTTCAATGCTCTTCTCCAGCACCACAGCTCAAAGACATTAATTCTGTCATCCCTATTCATTGTCCAGCTTTCAGATGCATAGCAAGTGATCGGAAAGACTATGGCCTGAGTCAGATGCACTTTAGTCCTCAAACTGACATCATTACTCTTCAATGATTTAGAGAGGTCCCTAACTGCAGATTTTCCCAGTGCAATGTGTCTCCTTATTATATTCATGTACTTAATAGCAAATGGTGCTATTTCTGTTGTTAATAAATAATTTGGCAAGCCCTTGTGTCCTAGTGGTAAAGTGTTACATTGCCAACCCAAAGGTGCATAGTTCCAATCCACTACCTGCTCTATGGGAGAAAGATGGACAATCTCTTCAGTGAGATTTACAGACGCTGAAAACCTGTTGAAGCATCAGCTATGAGTGGTTCTGGCACATAATGACAACAAATAACTCAACCTGTAGAAGTGTGCCCACAAATTTCAATTGCTTCCTCTTCCACTTTTCTCCTTAACTTGTCTCCTCTACAGCTGAGTTTCCTGGATGTATAAGGGCTGTGATTGTAATAATTGCAGGTAAGAATGAAGGAAATGATTAATAAATGCATACAAAGAAATGACAGGCAATGATGAAATCACTTCTGTGAAGAACCTTAAATGTCAAGAATAGCTCTCTGTGAGTCTATGCTTTATTGTATCAAGGATACCCACACCCATTTTAATAGAAAAAGAAGGGAGTCTTAACTTCTAGAAAACACGGTGAAGAGCTCCAAAAGAATAATCAAGCAGTGTGTGTGATCATGTATAATCTCAAGGAGATTATGTACAGAAGGAGAGACTAAAAGAACAATGATGACGAGGTTATTATTCAACTCCATTTCTCTAACATCTATAACTGAGAATGCTAGGAGGAGATGGAAGAAGTGTGCCGAACTGCATCTGTTCAATGTTTATAACCAAACTGCCAAGTCTACATAAAAACAAATCTGTTGGTTTGCATTTGTGATGAAGCTGAGGTTTTTAGAACCCACAAAAGTTATGCAGAATGGGGGAAACACTTTTATTGACAAAGAACTATGTGTTCTAACTTCCTCCCTTGAAGGTCCCATAGCTAATGCTATTATTTGCTCAGTAGTTGTTATGTATCATGGAGTCAGAGGCAACTCAGAGGAGACGCTCCAGTGGATTTTCAGAGGCAGTAAATTGCACGAGAGGAGACTGTCTGTTTCCTTTAGAGCCACTGGTGGGAGAAAACTGTGTGTCTTTGGCTCAACAATGCAACTCCTTACCACTAAGCTCCCTGTTTGCTCAACGTTGTTATGAGCCCTCGAGTCCCTTGTGACTTACTATGACCTGCTCTGAACCTTGCCCTATCCAGAGCCAAGCTCACGGATATGACACACCTACACCTGTTCTGTGTGAATCCATCTCCTCCTACGTCTTCCTCACTTGTGCTGGCCCTCCATCATTCCAAACATGATATCTTTCTCCAAGGACTCATTAGAGACTTTTATTAAAGTATGACACCTAACATATAAATGTCTGCTCTCCCAATAAATACTCTACGTCGATAGATACTTACTGATGCTCCATGTGTAACAAAGAGTTCAGCAACCTGCTGCCACTGTTGTTGAGTATTTTTGTTTGAGCTCT